CTGGTTTTGGTTGTCAGCAGCGAAACTGGTTGATCCACTCTGAGAAGGTGCTATTTAAGAGACTGAGCTGAAAACAGCACCTCAGACTGAGGAAGTCTCTCGGATGAGGGACGAAACGTTTCTACATTTTTTTGTTGTTTTGCTTTGTTTTTTTTTGTTTTTTTGAATGTCCAGAGGACCAGATTTTACTTTTTTGGGTTAGACCTTTTAGTTTTAAATTATTAGATTTGTCTGCATTTTGTCATCTATAGAAATGAGTCTTAAGTGATATGCACTCTTTCTCTGTTCTCCCTGCTGCAGACATCTCCTGCACCACTGTTTCCAGGCCCTAATGGACCACGGTGTTAAAGTGGCATCAGTTCTAGCGAACTCCTTCAGTCGTCGCTGCTCCTACATCGCAGAGTCTGATGCCCATGTCAAAGAGAAGGCCGTCCAGTTTGGCTTTGTGCTGGGTGAGTATTTGTGGATAGACCCAGAGATTGGTTGGATGGTCATCTTTAATAACTCCTGGGACTGATGTGCAGTATTTCAGCATGAGCTTCTTAAATGCTACTTTGAAAGGTCTACGTACACGTTATGCTGCTAATGTTCATGTCAGGGGTTGACATATTCAACAAGTTGCTCCTTGCCTGCACTTACATGCTGTCAGAAGAGACTTGCATTAGTTTATAAGGAGTCTTCTTTTTGATTGTAGGTGGCTTCTTGTCTGATGCTGGCTGGTATGGAGATGCAGAAAAAGTGTTTCTGTCGTGTCTGCAGTTGTGTACTCTTCACAGCGAGCTCCTACACTGTTACCGGGCTGTGGAATGCTGTGTCAGGTCAATTCCCAAACAATCTGTGCGCTTCATTTACCATCAAATAGTTTCTTTAATTTGTAATGGATAGCCGTTTTATTGTCTTTGATCTTTACTCATAGCACATACGTTTTATTGCATTTCAATTATAACAGTCATTTAGTCATGTTCATGTACTAAGATATAAGTTTGTGGGATTTGGTGGTTTGAAATAACAATACAGCTACATTTTCTATTCCATTTTATTGAAAGGATTAGTTACAACCATTAAATGTTCATCTGTCTTTTCTAAACGGATGCACAGAAAAGTTTTAGAACAGACTTGAAATATAAACTTTAGAAAATATAGCAAAGTTGATCAGCTGAAGGCAAAATACTTTTTTGTTCAAGTTTCTCTCTTGTCATCTCAGACTGCTCCATGTGCGCAATGGTAATTGTAAATACCACCTGGGGGAGGAGACCTTCAAGCTTGCTCAGTCTTACATGGACAAACTAGCCAAACATGGCCATCAGGCCAACAAGGCAGCGCTCTATGGCGAGCTTTGTGCCTTGCTCTTTGCCAAAAGCCACTATGATGAGGTGGGAATCATTAACTGTGATTTCTGTTTGAGTATTATTTGTGTAATATATTTTTCTAAACTGCTCTTTGTATTCTAGGCATACAAGTGGTGTATAGAAGCTATGAAAGAAATAACTCCAGGGTTGCCTGTCAAAGTCGTTGTGGATGTTCTCCGACAAGCGTCCAAGGTAAAATTCAGAGTTTTTACCCCACCCCCACAAAAAAAGGTGTGTGTGTGTGTGTGTTGGGGTGGGGGGGGGAGGGAGAGATCTGATGAGGAAAGGAAAAAACCCACAGATGCATTAATTCAACACCTCTACAAAGTCTGGTCATATGGGCTTTACATATGTGACCCATTTAACCCACAGGTTAAATATAATATAATTATAATTAATTAATTATAATAATTAAATGTGCTTTTCTTTAGACAAATGGAAAAGGTATTTGCTGCCATTATATATATATCATTTACAATATCTATTCAATCTGAGAGTGTGGGGTGTTTGGGAACCAGCCTCTGTCTCGTAAAAGCTTTTTTGCAGGCAGATGTAAAAATAGCAAATAAATATTTATCAGCAGATCTGGACAGGCAATCACAATTCCCCCAAAATATGGACACAAACTGTAATGGTACATTATGGTTGAGTATAAAAGTTCGGGTTTTATAAATCTCTGCCCAAAATGGTTTTATTATTGCGTATTCCCAAAATACATGCCAATGGTCATCTTCCTGAGAGCCACACAGCCTCCCAACATTTAACACCCCCAGGATCAAAGTTCGCTTTTTGTTTTGGTGTAATAAAACAGCGAATTTCGCATTTCTGGTTAAACTCACACCGTGTATGAAAGTTAGTACATTTCCATTGAAACTCATAAATTTAACCATTCGTCTTTAGTCATCAATATTGGATTATTTATTTCCCCATTTTACTTTAATGTAGTCAGTGGAGTGGGTATTTTTCATCAGTTCAATTCAGTTTATTTCTATAGCGCCAAGTCGTAACAGAAGCCATCTCAGGACACTGAACAGAAACATTCACATACATTATAAATGCCAATTTGTAAAGTTATCTAAGGAAGAAGGAGCCAGCAGACTGTGTTGAGGCTTCTTTTTGTCGCAGTCTCTCATCCTGAGCAAGCACAAAGGCAACAGTGTAAAGGGAAAAACTCCCTCATAACAGGAAGAAACCTCCAGCAGAACCACGCTCAGGACAAGCGGCCATCTTCTTCAACAGGCTGGGTTTGAGGGGACAGGAAGGAGAAATGGACACAGAAAAGCAGGTCTAGAATGGAGACGAGCAGGTCCTCATTAGGAGGAAAGATAAAAAAAAACCCTACATGTTAAGATAGAAACAAATAAAAATTATTCATTTGTATTCATTATAGTAACTATTAATTTGACAAAATTAGGTCAGTTTGTCTTCTAGCAGTCTAAGCCTATAGCAGCATAACTAAGGGATAGGTCAGGAGACCAAGCCAACCCTAACTATAGAATTCATCAAAATGGAGAGATTAAGCCTAATCTTAAAAGTTGACAAGGTGTCAGCCTCATGGACAGAAACTGGAAGTTGGTTCCACAAGAGAGGAGCCTGAGAACTGGAAGATCTTCCTCCCATGTTGCTTTTGGAAACTCTAAGAACCACAAATAAACCTGCAGTCTGAGACCGAAGTGCTCTGTTATGAAAATACAGAACAATAAGATCTGTAAAATACAAACCGGATTCCAAAAAAGTTGGGACACTAAACAAATTGTGAATAAAAACTGAATGCAATGATGTGGCGATGGCAAATGTCAATATTTTATTCGTAATATAACATAGATGACAGATCAAAAGTTTAATCTGAGTAAATGTAACATTTTAAAGGAAAAATATGTTGATTCAAAATTTCACAGTGTCAACAAATCCCAAAAAAGTTGGGACAAGTAGCAATAAGTGGCTGGAAAAAGGAAATTGAGCATATAACGAACAGCTGGAAGACCAATTAACACTAATTAGGTCAATTGACAACATGATTGGGTATAAAAAGAGCTTCTCAGAGTGTCAGTGTCTCTCAGAAGCCAAGATGGTAAGAGGATCACCAATTCCACCATTGTTGCGCAGAAAGATAGTGCAGCAATACCAGAATGGTGTTACCCAGCGTAAAATAGCAAAGACTTTTAAGTTATCATCATCAACCGTGCATAACATCATCAAAAGATTCAGAGAATCTGGAACAATCGCTGTGCGTAAGGGTCAAGGCCGTAAAACTCTACTGGATGCTCGTGATCTCCGGGCCCTTAAACGTCACTGCACCTCAAACAGGAATGCCACTGTCAAGGAAATAACAGAATGGGCTCAGGAATACTTCCAGAAAGCATCGTCAGTGAACACAATCCACCGTGCCATCCGCCGTTGCCAGCTGAAACTCTACAGTGCAAAGAGGAAGCCATTTCTAAGCAAGCTCCACAAGCTCAGACGTTTGCACTGGGCCAGGGGTCATTTAAAATGGAGTGTGGCAAAATGGAAGACTGTTCTGTGGTCAGATGAGTCACGATTTGAAGTTCTTTATGGAACACTGGGACGCCATGTCATCCGGACCAGAGAGGACAAGGATAGCCCAAGTTGTTATCAACGCTCCGTTCAGAAGCCTGCATCACTGATGGTATGGGGTTGCATGAGCGCTTGTGGCATGGGCAGCTTGCATGTCTGGAAAGGCACCATTAATGCAGAGAACTATGTTCAGGTTCTAGAACAACATATGCTCCCATCTAGACGTCATCTCTTTCAGGGAAGACCCTGCATTTTTCAACACGATAATGCCAGACCACATTCTGCAGCAATCACAACATCATGGCTACGTAGGAGAAGGATCCAGGTAATGAAATGGCCAGCCTGCAGTCCACATCTTTCACCTATAGAGAACATTTGGTGCATCATAAAGAGGAAGGTGCGACAAAGAAAGCCCAAGACGATTGAACAGTTAGAGGCCTGTATTAGACATGAATGGGAGAGCATTCCTATTTCTAAACTTGAGAAACTGGTCTCCTCTGTCCCCAGACGTCTGTTGAGTGTTGGAAGAAGAAGGGGGGATGCCACACAGTGGTAAAAATGGACTTGTCCCAACTTTTTTGGGATTTGTTGACGCCATGAAATTTGGAAACAACAGATTTTTCCCTTAAAATGATACATTCTCTCAGTTTAAACTTTTGATCTGTGATTTGTGTTCTATTCTGAATAAAATATTAGATGTTGGCACCTCCACATCATTGCATTCACTTTTTATTCACAATTTGTTTAGTGTCCCAACTTTTTTGGAATCTGGTTTGTAGCTCCTGCAGTGATTCATTAGCATTAGCGTCCGGAGGAATGTAAACGACAGTGATGAAAGTCACTTTGAACTCGCGTGGTAGATAATGTGGCCGATATTTCATTGTTATTTGCTCCAAAGCCTTCGAGCATGAGAATTTACAACAGGACAGTTCGTGCACCAACTTTTACTCACGTAAATGCACACTCCGCCTCCCCGTGATTTCCCCGTTAGCTCGCTGCAGCGGTCCGCTCGAAAAAAGAGTGTCATCCAGCTGGAAGACTGTATCCGGCGTTTCGCTTGTAATCCACGTTTCTGTGAGGCAAAGCACTGCATACTTCTTCATCTCACTTCATATTTAGCTGATTTGAGGCTGATTCAGGACCTCTTTTCTTCCCTGCTTCTCTGGTGGGACCGAGCGAGCTCAGTTGAGCTGAGTCCAGACCAAACGTGAATGCAGGGCTCTGGATGCAGGACTCTGATTGGTCAGGGGGAGGAGTCACTGGATCTCATAAACTTTTCACTGAGCTGCCATTTGCAATTTCTCTGGATGCAGAGCAGCGGCTGGATCTATTTTTAAGATTTTAAAAACAATAATGACAACGCCGTGTTTAATTCTGAAGTCCAGGTGTATTTTGTGTTTGGTGACCGAAGATAAAATTTGAGCGAGTGGTGTCACCGCGGAGGATCATACGAGCTGTCGAGCCATTGAAGCACGCGAGGCCGAACCCCGAGCCCCGGACTTGCCTGCTCACAAAGGCCGGATTCGAGCCCTGGCAGGCGGGAGGACCGGGATGGAGGGACAGGGGTGGAAACTTTTTTTTTTTTTTTTTACATTTTATGTATCAGAATCAGAATCAGGATCAGTTTATTATCGCCATGTCAATGAACGAGGTTCACAAACTAGGAATTTGCTTCGACATAAGGTGCGAATAGTAATAAAGTAAAATAAAGTAAAAATAAAGTAAAAATTAAGTAAAAATGAGAACATTACACAAGACATAAGCCTGTGTACACCCACAAATAAAGTAAAATTAAAACCATAACATAACCATATGTATGCTGGTGAAGATTCTCATTCATCCAGGACATGATGAATTCAAAAAGCGTTCAATACAAAAACAACTGGACTTTATTTGTAACAGAAGACGTTTCGCTCCTCATCCGAGGAGCTTTCTCAATTCAAAGAGCAGAGAGTGAGAGATTCAGGTTATAAGGCTGAGTGAGATAAGACACATATACACACACACACATAAGACACACACACACATAAGACACACACACACATAAGACACACACACACACACACATAAGACACACACACACATAAGACACACACACACGCACACACATATATGTAGATTGGCAGTTCACACCTAAAAATCTAAAACAGTAGGTCTTTGTTCCTCTAATTCACAGACGAGGCCCCTCTGTTCCCATCAGGTGTGAAAACTGGCTGGGAATCTGTTTTAAAGTTGCATTATATGTTTTTGAAAGTGGG